TTGCCAACCTCTATATGGAATCCTTTGAAACCCAAGCTCTAGAAAAATCTGATCACAAACCCAAACTCTGGCTCAGATATGTGGACGACACCTTCATAATCTGGCCACATGGGAAAGAAAAACTGGACAACTTCCTCACACACCTCAACAGCCTACACCCCAAAATACAATTCACCATGGAAACAGAAGTGAACAACCAACTTCCCTTCCTGGATGTCTTAGTCTACAGAAAATCCAATGGCTCCCTAGGACACACTATATACCAGAAGAAAAACACACACAAACCGCTATCTGCACGCACTCTCACACCACCACCCTGCCCAGATCAACTCTGTAGCCAAGACACTCATTTCCAGAACAAAACGCTTAGCTGACGAACAACACCTAAAAACCGAACTACACACCCTCACTAACGTACTCACATCCAATGGATTCCAAAGAAATAAGATCACCAACCTAATCCAAAAAGAAACCCCCACTAAAATCCAAGACAGAGAACAAGAAAACGGCAAAGCCCTCCTCCCATACATAAAAGGCACCACAGACAGAATAAGCAAAATCCTCCACAAACATAACATCAAGACAGCATTCTGCACAAACCGAAAAATATCCACCATCCTAAGGAACCCCAAAGACAAAATTGAGTTAGAAAATCAAGGAGTATATGAAATCCCATGCACCGCCTGCCCCACCACATACATCGGACAAACCAACAGATGAATAAGTGCACGCATAGAAGAACACAAGAACTCAGTCAGAAAAGAGGAACCAACTTCTTCCCTGGTCCAACACCTTAAAGCCACAGAACATGATATTGACTTTAAAAAGACCAGAACTATCGCCAAAACTGAACACTTGAACAACAGAATAATCAGAGAAGCCATCGAGATAGAAAAACACCCACACAGCATGAACAAACGAGACGATACCTCCCGCCTACCAGCCATTTGGAAACCCGCCCTTATTGACAAACGAGTCCCTAACATGACGAATGACACCAGACCCACACTCACGAGTGCCACACCTGATGCCACCACCACACATCCACGCAGAAAGCAGACTCAAACCCACACTGATAATGAGCCACGACCAAGGACCAGAAGCCAGACCGCAGCTGCATCATTAGCCACTTTAAACCCCTCCAATCCATACATGAAGCAGACTGACACCCACCATGAAGAGCTCGCATGGCCACAAACACGAAGCCAAACAACAACAATGCAGCTCACCAGCTCAAATCCCCCTGCAACTCAGACTAAGCTGGGCACAACCAAGCCCCCACCCAAACAGAACACAACCCCAGCCAATCAGAGCACAGCCAAGCCCCTAACCAATCAGAACACACCTCCACCCAATCAGAACACAGCCAAGTTCCCACCCAATCAGCTCACACCTCCACTAGCAGTTAAAAGGAAGAGACAGCTGCGATCTCACATTGCTCCTGGAAGCACGAAGCCGAGAACACCAGCCTGAAGATGACGAATGAGACTTCGTCGAAACGTCGCCAAGACACTTCCAATTTTACGTGGGAGAAGACCCGAATAACCAAAGACCTACATATATATATATATATATATATATTATATATATATATATATATATATATAATAATATATATACATACATACATACATACATACACATACATACATACCTTTCCCTGGAGTGGGGTGGGAATAGAGATTTTGCAATATCCTTCCTGCAGGAGTGGGGAGGGAATGGGGATTTTGCAGTATCCTTTCCCTGGAGTGGGGTGGGAATAGAGATTTTGCAATATCCTTCCTGCAGGAGTGGGGAGGGAATGGGGATTTTGCAGTATCCTTTCCCTGGAGTGGGGTGGGAATAGAGATTTTGCAATATCCTTCCTGCAGGAGTGGGGAGGGAATGGGGATTTTGCAGTATCCTTTCCCTGGAGTGGGGTGGGAATAGAGATTTTGCAATATCATTACCGCAGGAGTGGGGAGGGAATGGGGATTTTGCAGTATCCTTTCCCTGGAGTGTGGTGGGAATAGAGATTTTGCAATATCCTTCCCCTGCCACGCCCACCAAGCCACATCCACAGAACCGGTAGTAAAAAAAATTGAATTCCACCACTGTTTCTGATGTCTTCTAGTCCAACCCTCTGATTAAGGCAGAAGACTTGATATCATCCCAGGCAAACGGCTATCCAAAATTTTGAAATCTTCCAGTAACTCAGAGTTCTGGGAGGCAAACTGTGCCATTGATTAATAATTCTCATTGTTGGGGAAATTTCTCCTTAAATCTAAGTTGGTTCTCTCTTTAATGAGCTTTTCACCCATTGCCTTTTTTTTTGTCACACCTTCTGGGGCTTTGGAAAATAAGTCAACCCAATCCAGATTTAAAAGAGATCAAATATCTCCTTTAAAAAGAAGAAGAAGGTTTTAAAAATGTAACAATTTCTTTTCCATTCCATTGAAGAAGCAGCCCAAGGGGGGAAAATGCCAGAGAAAACATTGGCCAAGCATTAATACATAATTCCACGTATATTGTTTTCTTTGCAAAATATACATAAACGGTATGATGAATAGAGTTCGATTAACCCTGCGCTAGATATAAATGTACAACCAATTAACTAATTTTAATCTCTCTCCCTCTTTTTCTTTTGGAAAAAAACAAACATCTGTTGGCATTTTTGTTTGAATAATCCTTGTTTAGTTTCCATAATAGTGTACATTTTAATGAAAAACTCATTAGAATGTAACAGAGGGCATAATTAATTCTGGGTGATTCTTTCTGTGTAAATAGCTAGCACAGATGCCAAATTCCATTTTCTGCTGGCTTTATTAATTTTTCATACACCAATATTTCAGCCATAATGGGTTGTAACAGCTCCTCAGAAGTTTTAGAAACACATTAACTGCCATCAGAGCTGTTAATCTAGCTTGGATTTTCACCATTTGTATGATAATACTTTTAACACTACATTTTTAAAAACAATGGCAACAGCTTTATTTTTTTTAATGTTTGGAAGCAAACATCTATGTATAATTAACGTAACTAATATTAAACAATATTGGGTTAATTTCTCTGTATTTAGAAAGCAACTTAATCTATTTTGCAACCCGTTTGCTCAAAAACATTTAGATGATTAAAAAAAAAAGAAGAATGTGAAAAATAGCCACATTTGGAAAGAAATAATGTTGTATTATAATAGCCCTTGCAGTTAAAACTGAGAGCTGAGATTGTCTAGCCGTTTCTTCAACTTTGGCGAAATATTTCAGTGGAATATTTTCTAATGTACTGTAGACAAGGCTAATTTCTCAGTCTTTCCCTGGCATGAACAGTATCGACTGGAATACTGCCAATCTTTCAATAGTAAGATTTTTATCTCTTTATTCCTGTCTGTTCCAAACCTCACTGTTAATTCTATGGTGAATGCAATAATGAATGTAGATTTATTATTTCCTCTTTCTGAAAATGACAACTTCTCAATTTCTAGAAACAGTAGGGTTACAGATGTAGGGGACACGGTGGATCAGTGACTAAGACGCTGAGCTTGTCGATCAAAAGGTCGGCAGTTCAGCGGTTTGAATCCCTAGTGCCATGTAACAGGGGTGAGCTCCTGTGACTTCTCCCAGCTTCTGCCAACCTAGCAGTTCGAAAGCATGTAAAAAATGCAAGTAGAAAAATTGGGACCACCTTTGGTGGAAAGGTAACAGCGTTTCGTGGGTCTTTGGCATTGAGTCATGCCGGCCACATGACCACGGAGATGTCTTCGGACAGCACTGGCTCTTCGACTTTGAAACGGCCGCCCCCTAGAGTCGGGAACGACTAGCATGTATGTGTGAGGGGTACCTTTACCACTAGGTTACAAATGGAGAGACTCATAATCCAGAAATCTTTTATCTCTTTCTTTTCTTATTACTTCGGGGGATGATTAGCTTACTCCAGCAAAATGGGTAGTTTAGCCCAGTAATAGGTTGTCCAATATAGCACAGGTGTGTACTAATATTTCTGAGGTATCCATGACTCCTAAAGATGGTTTCCCTACCAATGCCAGGAAGATAAGAATGCAATTACTGAGCCAGGCTGCACAACATGCAGATTATACAAATTAAATAAATAAATAAATAAATAACATCAAACTCTATTGTGTGTTTGCTTCAGTGTGGCAAGTTGGGATGGGTTGATCTTCCTTAATGTAAAATGAAGGTATTTATACTGGGTGAGAGAAGCTGTCAATGAGAAAATGAGCCCCGGTGGCGCAGTGGTTAGAGTGTGGTACTGCAGGTTACTTCTGCTGATCACTGGCTGCCTGCAGTTTGGCAGATCAAATCTCACCAGGCTCAAGGTTGACTCAGCCTTCCATCCTTCCGAGGTCGGTAAAATGAGGACCCAGATTGTTGGGGGCAATATGCTGACTCTGTAAACCACTTAGAGAGGGCTGTAAAAGCACTATGAAGTGGTATATAAGTCTAAGGGCTATTGCTAGTGCCCTCCCTCCCTCCCTCCCTCCCTTCCTTCCATGGTGCGCAGTGGTTAGAATGCAGTATTGCAGGCTAACTCTTCCCACTGCCAGCAGTTCGATCCTGACCTGCTCAAGGTTGACTCAGCCTTCCATCCTTCCAAGGTGGATAAAATGAGGACCCAGATTGTTGGGGGCAATATGCTGACTCTCTAAACTGCTTAGAGGGGACTGTAAAGCACTTTGAAGCAGTATATAAGTCTAACTGCTACTGCTATCAATAGACCAGTCTTCCTTAATCTGAGAAGTTTCTGGTATTTACGGGCTACAAAACTCAGGTCTCTTATCTTTTGGTCACTCTAGGTGGAAATTATTGTGGGGTGGGGAAAGGATTAGGATGGGACCTTCTGCTGCAGGTAGATTTGCACAGACAGAAGAGCAAATATAACTTACTGAATATGTCAAAAAAACTATTTTGGTTTTGCATAACTCTGTAATATATTTTTCATATATGTGCTCCCAATCTCAGAACACTTTCTGTCTTTCTCTGTCTCTCTTTTTTTCTCTTTCATAGGCAGGGTGCTCCTGTGCCAGGCAAATCAAGAAGGATCTCCCATGTACAGTGCCCCCAGTTCACTAGTATACACGTCTACAAGTAAGCCAATACTCCGACTACCTTTTTTCCTTGAATTGATTGATTTGTTGATTGCCTCGGAAATGTCCTCATGGATCCAGTTCTTGGACTATGTTGAACATGAGGTCTAAGAAACCTGCAATTTCAAAGCAGAGAGTGAATCGTGTCTTTTGCCTACTATAAGGAGGTTATGTGGTAGAATCTCTTTATCTCCATCTAGAAGGGGCTGTGCCAGGGGTGAAATCCAGCAGGTTCTGATAGGTTCTGGAGAACCGGTAGCGGAAATTTTGAGCAGTTCGGAGAACCGATAGCGGAAATTTTGAGCAGTTCGGAGAACCAGTAGCGGAAATTTTGAGCAGTTTGGAGAACCAGTAGCGGAAAATTTGAGTAATTCGGAGAACCAGTAGCGGAAAATTTGAATAATTCGGAGAACCGGCAAATACCACCTCTGGCTGGCCCCAGAGTGGGATGGGAATGGAGATTTTGCAATATCCTTCCCCCAGGAGTGGAGAGGGAATGGGGATTTTGCAGTATCCTTCCCCTGGAGTGGGGAGGGAATGAGGATTTTGTAGTATCCTTCCCCTGGAGTGGGGAGGGAATGGAGATTTTGCAGTATCCTTCCCCTGCCATTCCCACATGCCACACCGACCCCGCCACACCTCGCCCACCAAGCCATGCCCACAGAACTGGTAGTAAAAAAAAAATTGGATGTCACCACTGGCCTGTGCACTTTTGCGTGGTGAGATGGCAGTGATAGTTTGACATATCTAGCAGGTGAAAGGTTGGAGATAGGGTAGTCTCCCTGCCTTTCTGCAAGGTGTGGGAAAAAAAGTGGTAAGCCCCCAAGACTGTCCAGTTCAAAGAACCAAAAAGAACATGATGAATTGCTCAGAGTAGTTTGTTCATTGCATTTGGTCCATAAGACAGGAATCTTGCCAGACTTTTTTTTTTTTTTTAATTTGATTTATATGCCGCCCTTCTCCGAAGACTCAGGGCGGCTTACAATGTGCTCAGCAATAGCCTTCATCCTTTTGTATATTTATACAAAGTCAGCTTATTGCCCCCACAAACTGGGTCCTCATTTCACCTGCCTTAGAAAGGATGGAAGGCTGAGTCAACCTTGAGCCTTGGCGAGATTCGAACCCTGCAGTAATTGCAGGCAGCTGGTCTTAACAAGCTTAATAACAGGGTGCCTTAAGCCCCTGTACTACCAGACTAAAGCACACTCTGCATAACTATGAGATAAATCCTGTTGAGATTTTAGAGAGGATCCCTTCTGGGCCTCTTTCTACATAACCAGGACTCAAGGCTGATTTGTCTATTATTGACTTGAGAACAAGTTTCTCCATCCTGCAACTCAGCACCAGATTCCACCACATAAATCCCCACCCAGGGTTCCGAAAAAGAGAGGCAAGAAAGAGGAGAACTGGCAGGACGCTTCTGAAAGGCAAACATGAATATTCTTATGGCCTCTCTAAGATGCCTCTCAAACGAAAGGTACAATATCACATTGAAACAAAGCTTTTCGATCTATAAAGAGGGCCACATAACTTTTATTAATTCAATTTAATATCCCTTTCATTTACATGGCAATTAAATCAAAATTAGATTTTATTTTAACCCAAACAGACCTCTTTGTAAGGGTGGAGGTTTGTTCTCTAAGCTTGCGGGTTGGTTTCAGAGGTGCTGATTTCAGAGGCTGCTGCTGGTTTGCACTGGTTCAGGTGAACCAGTAGTTAAGATTCTGCACAGTTCATCAAACTGGCAAATCCCACCATTGGCTGGTCTCCCAACCCCACTTGTTTTTCAACCTGTTTTCCAGGCCATTTTCCAGCCATTTTTTGGCCCGTTTTGGGCCATTTTTTGGGCCAAAAACAGCCTGGGAATGGCCTGGAAAACAGCCTGAAAACGGCCAGAAAAATGGCCTGAAAAAACGGCCTGAAAATGGCCCCAAAATGGCTGGAGATGGCCCAAAAAATGGCTTGCAAATGGCCCGAAAAACGGACTGAAAATGGCCCAAAAATGGTTGAAAATTGCCCCAAAATGGCCTGCAAATGGCCAAAAAAAAAAAAAAAACCCAGCCAAAAACAGGCCAAATAACAAGCGGGGTCAGGGCCAGCCAGTGGATTAGCCCAGTGGTGGGATTCATCCGGTTCGCACCACTTCGGGAGAACTGGTTGTTAACTTTCTGAGCAGTTTGGCAAAGTGGTTGTTGGAAGAAATAATTGGGGCAGAGAACCGGTTGTTAAATTACTTGAATCCCACCACTGGATTAGCCCCAACCGGCTGAATCCTACCTCTGCCTTTGAGGCGAGTGGCCAGGAGGCTGGGCTTGGTGTGATGAGTGATGTCACCCACCCAGTCAGTTACATCACCAACTGGCCATGCCTACCCAGCCAGAGAACCGTTTGTTATTCAAGTCCCACCACTGGTTGGTTTCCGAATGTTTCACTACCAGGCTAGGTAGCATCTTCAGCAGATGTTACCCAGCCTGGTAATTTAATGTTTGGAAACCAACCGCAAGCTCAGAGAACAAACTTCCACCCTCAACCTACACCTGAGCTACAGATGTTCGCCACTATCACAGTTCTCTTTGTTTCAGATCAGATCCGGGATGGGGGTGTGGGGTGGGGAGATGGAGCTGGGATTCCAGGTGTGCCATTGTAAAGTACAGATTTTTTAAAAAAATAAATAAATAAAATGGAAACGTTGACTGAAAAAAAGGGAAAAATTGTGCATTTAAGGTCAGGGAAGATGCATTCTTTTTGACAGCCTGTGGTATGATTATGAGGATACTGATAAAAGTGAAACAGTTATGGTATCATATACGAAGTGATGTGAATAAGATACTTCACTACAATGAAGAGATGTTATGTCTTATGCTACTTATGTGAATAATTGTATCAAATGTCAACGGCAAATTTTAAGAGTGTTCTGCTGTAGAGACCACTTTTCAGATTAAATAATAATCAATCCTGGACCCCTAATTATTTGTTTATTCAATGAAATTTAATGTATTGTTATGCTTCCTATGTCCAAAGCCTGTTCAAAACTAATCAATCAACCCATTCATAATGAAACAGAATTGATAAAATAAAAAACTGCTAGCTGAAACAATACGGGCTTAAAGAAGTATCAGCCCCGACCAAGAACAACATAGAACAAAATCCAACCAAAGTTCAGTTCTTTTTTTGCTTATGCCCAAGAGACAGAATCTTACCAGACTAAAGTTTTACTATTCTCACCCTAATGAGATTCAAGGGAATGGCTGTCCTAAAACTCTTCATCTGACTCATATGAGCTCCCCTTTCATAGGTAGAATCCATTATAAGGAAGAGACCACTTCTCAATGCAGAAAGAATTCTGAACTAAGGGGGAGGAAATTGAAAATGTCAATTTCCAAGGTCCTATCCAGAGATGGGCTGCTGCCAGTTCGGACCAGTTCGGCTGAACCAGTAGTTCTGAGCAGCGGCTGGGCCCTCCCACCTGCCCCGGTGCTATCCCATCCTATATAATCGCTGTGTTTTTGTTGCCACGTGCATGCGCAGAAGTTTTAGTTGCCACGTGCGCTCACATTTTCAGTTCTGGGCGAACCAGTTGTTACATTATGTAAGGCCTACTCTGGTCCTATCAGGCAGTCATCGAGTTTTGTCTTGTTTTAGTGTAAGGTAAAGGTAAAGGTTCCCCTCGCACATACATGCTAGTCGTTCCCGACTCTAGGGGGCGGTGCTCATCTCTGTTTCAAAGCCAAAGAGCCAGCGCTGTCTGAAGACATCTCCGTGGTCATGTGGCTGGCATGACTAAATGCCAAAGGCGCATGGAACGCTGTTACCTTCCCACCAAAGGTGGTCCCTATTTTTCTCCTTGCATTTTTTACGTGCTTTCGAACTGCTAGGTTGGCAGAAGCTGGGACAAGTAACGGAAGCTCACCCTGTTATGTGGCACCAGGGATTCGAACTGCTGAACTGCCAACCTTTCAATTGACAAGCTCAGCGTTTTAGCCACTGAGCCACTGCGTCCCTTGTATTACACTTACTGTATTAATATACTGTATTAAGTTTAGCAATACTGTTATTGCTAAACAATAATTCAGAATTATTAAGAACTAAGAATTATGAAGGTAGCACCTAAGAATATAGGCCCTTCCAAACTGGGTGAGTTAGGATTTAGGAAGTCCAAGAATTGCAATATTTCAAGATACCACAGTTTGTCAAAATGATGCTGAAAGCCATCTTCCAGTTGTGTTAAATGCACAACGTTTCCACTTTTTCCACAATTTTTTTTAAAAAATTGAATCCCACCACTGCACTGTGCCACCCCACTGCTCTGCTATGTTTCTATCAGTCTTAGATGGTGAATCTAACTAATTACCCACACACGATACAACCAGTGGTGAAATCCAATTTTTTTAATTACCGGTTCTGTGGGCGTGGCTTGGTGGGTGTGGCGTGGTGTGGCTTTGTGGGGCCAGCCAGAGGTGGTATTTGTCGGTTCTCCAAACTACTCAAATTTTCTGCTACCGGTTCTCCAGAACCTGTCAGAACCTGCTGGATTTCACCCCTGGATACAACAATCTAAACAAGTAGACAATCGAGAGATAGGACGATGCAGATGTCTTTGAACAAGAGACAGGGGAAAAAGTTCTCACCAGGCAAGGAAGTATTAGCTTGAAAACTCAACAATTGTTGCATAACATTGTAGAGGGGAGATCTTTGAATAAATGAGATTGAGACGTGGGAACCTGAGAGGATACATATTCAAAGGAAGAAACTCCTCTGGGTACCACCTCCTACAGCCCAGCTCCTGTGCTCAGAAGGATTCTGCCCTTCAATTCTGTGGCATCAACCTCTACTTTGTATAATGCCTTGGAGCACTCCACCTAGCATTGTTCCCAAAGACTTATGGGAAATTTGAAATGGTGATTCATTTTCTTTTTATGAAGTAATTATTTCCAACCATGCTATGGACATCTTAGGAATGTGCTGTAGGCTCTCTCAACTGATCTGTCATTAATAGCCTTT